AGACTTGCTCTCCCCTCGCTTGCCCTTCCCTTCATCCTTGCTGGGACTCTGTGCCTCGAAGGGCAGCACCATGTGGGCTGTTAGCCATGGGAGCCAGCTTCCCGGCTGTAAGCACCCTGCCATTTCCCCACCCACCTCGGATCCACGTGACTCTGCACCCGCTGGCGGATGATCTCCCTGCTTTCCAGCTCACCTTTCTGCGTCACCGGCTGGCAGCCCTGGGAGTCTGAAGAGGGCCCTGGCTGGCATTGGGCCTTGGGCAGGAGCTAGACTGGGCTGGAACGCTTTCTTGATATGAAATGACATCATGGCCTCAGATTCTTCCTTAGACATAGATGAGGGAGGGTCACCGGTCTGTTTCTCTAGACCAGGGGCCGGCAAACTTTTGAGATGAAAGAGCCCATCCTGTCCTTCACAATTTTAAAAGTATTCGAGAGCCATGAATGTGTTTTTTTTACAAACAAATGAAATCACCCTTATCTGAATAATATCCTCTAAAATTTTTATAAATGAAACGATGATAGTGTTTTTCCCCTGATTTTATTTCAGAGCCCTGTGTATGTACTGAAAGTACATACAGGCCTCAGAGTCGCAGGGTGCCGACCCCTGCCCTAGACAACCCAGCCTACCACACTGTTGCGTGGCTCTTCAAATGCCCCTAGAAAAGACCGTCACCCCATAAAGGGCCCAGGTCCATCAATTAGTATGGCTGTAGCCAGGGGTCAGAAAAGGCATTCTGGGAATTTTGAGGCAAGAGCTTTGTGGCTAAAGCAGCTCTGGTGTAGAGAGAGGCAAAGGGAGAGCGGAAGAGCCGGAATCTGTTCCCGGATCTCCCCTGGGGAAGGGGAGAAAAGAGACCCAAAATTCAAACATAACTTATAGAGACACCTTTATTGCATCTTCAACAGGACAGAGACAAAGGCACATCAACTAGAGGAGGGAAGACATCTTCCCAAGATCATAATGGCATCCAAGGCTTTACAAAGACATGGATCCTCAAATAGAACATGGGAGAACCAGGGAACCCGTCGCAAAAGCCTGATCAGTGGCAGATCAGGACATCAGTGGGACTACAGAATAAGACCAGGGTGGTGACACATGCATTCTTCTAGAGAGAACCATGTACAAGGTGGGTCCAGGGCCCCCCAACCAAGGCCGTTAGGATATGCCTCATGACCATGTGGACCAGGAGACCTAGCACCCCAGTGTGTCATGGACACACTTGGACAAGTCCACTGGGGTAGACTGGACTGGCTAAGGGAGTGGTAGTCATCATTTCTTGATACAGTCTGCCTGGGGGCAAAGATATTCATGTTGCCAGTTAACGGCCAGCAAGAATTCAATAGCAGTTCAGTCCATGTGGAGACTTAGAAATTAATTTTGGGCTATCACTTTAAACTGTAAACTTCTTGCTCAGAATTTAAGCCCTACTATACCTCCTATCTGTGGCCCGGGAGCTGTGTGATTCTGGACAAGCTTTCTCTAGGCCTCAGTCACAAGAGCACTGAGGTCCCCGCTCTGCAGTCTGGGCTTGTGTGCTGGCCTTCCGTGCGGGCAGGGGTGAGAGAACTGCCTCTAGAACTTTGGCCTGCTCGAGGCTAGGGGACTGAGCCACTGGGAAGGAGAAGGGAGTCATCTCGATGCATAAAGGGCAAGACACGGCTGGGAGAACCGAAGAGGATGTTCATCTGGGACTTGGCTCGGGATCTGGAATTAGGCATCCTGGGGCCCAGTCCCCACCACATCATTACTCTGTAAAGTCTTCTTGGTAAGGTGAGGCTTTTCCCAGTCTCCCACTCAACCTCAGTTCTTCATGTTATAAAAAGGGTGACCGGATTTCCATTGTTGGGGTTGGATAGGGAGAGTAGCCTCGGCTTCATAGCAGTGAACTGAATTCTGTTCAACCCTATCTAGTAGTGCTCGATCCAGTGTGAAGTTTCCCTTAGAGAAGGCAGAAGAGAAAGCCAGTAAGAACACAGTTCCTTTCGGGTTCCTCCCTCCTCTCCCACTACCTGTGAGCTCCACCCCAGCTGGGAGAGGAACTTCCTGATTCCACAGACAGGTGGGTCTCTTCAAAACCTCCAAACTCATTACCATCGAGTCCATGCTGACCTACAGTGACCCCATAGGACAGGGTGGAACTGTTAATGTGAGTAGAAATCCCCATCTTTCTCCTGAGGAGTGGCTGGTGGTTTTGAACTGCTGACCTTAAGGAGGGCAGGCCAACTCGTACGAAACCACTATGCCACCAAGTCTCCTTTGGTGGGTCCCTAGACCAAGAATTAATCTGAAGACTGAGGTATTCAAGATGCATGTTTACCCTCACAGGGGCTCCCCAGAATCCCCTAAAGACTTACAGCCTCAGAAACCCCCAGGGGCAGTGCTACTCTCCATAGAGTCTCTCTGAATCAAAACTGACTCAATAGCAGTGAGTGTGGGTTTTTTGGAAGGCACTCCCCCACTCTATTTCCCTAAGTGCTCAGTAGGAGCAAGGTCTGATCAGGAAGAAAAGTCTGGCTGAATGTTTTCTTTGTTTGGTTAATTTTGTCTGGAGCATCTTCCTCGGATTTAGAGACATCGTCAAGGGTGAGTAGATGACTGTTGTCATCTTGAGGCCACAAGAATTTTATCCAGAAAGTGCCTGGGCCTTCCCAGCCAAGCTCAGCTCTCACCCTGAATGAGCATAGAAGGTTAGCTGCATTAGCTCAACAGATTTGCGTTGAGCACCTACTGTCAAGGAGAAAACTTCATAGCAGACATATACGTGGATTTTAGGGTTTTCTTACCCACTAAACCCAATAACCCATTGTCACGCTGTGGATTCTGGCTCACAGTAACCCTCGGCTTCGGAGAATAAGTCTTTATGGAGCGGACAACCTCATCTCTCTCCCTCAGAGTGGCCGGTGGATTGGAACCATCAACTTTATTGCTGGCAGCCCATTGCTTATTTCAGGGCACGGGTAGGTAGTTAAATTAGGGATAAAGGGAATTGTCTCCCCCAAATGCCAAACGAAAATTAGCTGTCCATGCCACAACTAAGAGGTTGGAAAGAAATCAGGCACGCTAATGAGACACCTATGGGAAAATCCAGAACTGAACATGCTCAGACCCAAGTCACCTAGGCACAGGTGAAGGGAAACCTGGGCCCACACACAATGCTAGGCACCTGACATCACACAGGTGTGCTTAACTCAGCCTATAAGGTTGGCCGATACCCTCAACAATCCGTGTCTCCTCCTGATTGGGAAGTTTAAAGGCGGTGGGGGTAAGTAAACTCTAACCCACACTGGAGGTCCCCAGAGTGGGAAGGTGTGGGGTGTGATGGGAAAGAGACCCTTGTAATGGCTAGGTGCTCGTTCACACTCATCTGGACCTATTAATCAACTGATCTCGGGAAAAGGGGCAGGGCAGGCTTAAGATTAGCCAAAGGCTGACTTCTTTTTCTTTGCCTCTTCTCTTTATAAGTCTAACTAATACACATCAAGCCATTTGCTTTTTTTAAGACTCAGATGGTCTCCTATATGCATCTAAAATAATTGCTCAGAATAAACCTTAGGTTTCCATGTCTCTGGATTTTGATTATTTTTAGCACTGTTCT